GCTTCAAGGACTGGATTGAATATAATGGATACTTACCTAAAATACCTAGCCGTAAAGAACTCGCAGATTTAATAAGAATATACAAGGAGAATCGTAATGCCGAGATTATTCCCACCCCCTCTGGGTATGAAACTATGAGGGCAGATAAGGGAAAAGCGCGAGAGATCCCCGAGGAACGTCCAAAAACTGATATGGAACGTGAATGGGAGGCCGCCAATGGAATCATCGATGACTGGAACGAAGAGGATACTGAGGGCGATATCAACGACATATTGTAAGCACTATTTGAGATTATTTCTTTTTTTTTTCGTATATATAGAAAGTTATTATTTATATTTGAAGACAAATCATATACATAAAAATGCAATACTCAAGAATCGCCCACACTTTACCAACACGAACTGAAATCAAGGAACTTCAATATTCAGGTGCCCGCTTTTCCAGAGGAGCTATCACCAGACTCGGTCAGACTCTCCAGGCGCGATTTCCAGATAGAAAGTTCCAGATCCTACTTCCCTATGAAAACTGGAAACCCGGTGGATGGACATCAGAAAACCAACCAGCCAGCCTCTTTTCACTATTAGACCATTATGATGAAGCACAACTACCGGATGACGCAGACCCCGATTATTTTGAACAATTCATAATTTATGCGAGAGATAGTCCACCGGCCGCAGGAGGTTGCAACGGAGAGCTAAATGATTGCCTGTATGAATGCCTGAAATATATCTATGGCACATTCTCTAAAATGCCAAAGTCAATCGAAAAGCCTGAATATATCAAAAAGGCATTAGGTCTCAATCGCGATGCTCCTATCCCAGTTTCATACATGGACAAGGTTGAACAACTCGCAGGAAGTCTCGCAATTAATATTGTGGGAGACATTACCCGAATCTCTAAGAGTAAGTCCGATAGACGTGCGACTCTCATCCTGTCTGAGGGTCATTACTCCCTCGCGTTAAATCCCGGAAGACTCCACCCCAGTAAATTAGATAGGAAGCGTAATCTGCCCATTGTGTATCATGAAGATGGAGTAAACAATGTAGTCACAATATACAACGGCAAAACAGTTAAGTCTTGCACAATTGAGCAGTTTCAAAAAACTAAGAATTCCAAGAGTTCATTAATCACAGTAGAGAAAAACCGTAAAACGGGAATATATGAAACTCTTGAAGAAGCATATCAGAGAATCCACGAGGAGCGGGATGTCTTCTTACAGACTACAAAGAAGTTCGGTTTAGGAATCGACTTATCATACCATAACTGGTCTTACAAAAGAACGGCTCTCTGGTTATTCGAACGATTAAGTGTAGGGATTCCAGCCAATGATCCTCTTGACCCAATAGAAGCAGAGTGGTTAAGTGATGAAATGATGGGAGGATTAATCTGGGCAGATAACGAGTGGAAGGGCTATGGAAGACAGTACGACGCAACAAGTTTATACCCGAGTATCCAACAATCGAACGTGAACTTTCCAATCAGACGGGGTAAATTCCAGAAACTTAATAACTTTGTTAACCACAGGGGTTATGCCTTGTATGGATTATTCCGTGCCAAGGTAAGTGGGAATAATATTCTCTTCCGACAGAATAAAAGGGGAATCTATACATTCATCGACTTACAACAAGCAAAAAAACTTGGTCTCAATATACAGTTAATACAGGATGGGAAGCCAAATGCATTGATATATGATAGAGAAGCGAGAAT